GTGTCAGGATGCTCGTCCCCAAGCATCCTCTTTCTCGTCTCCATCACTTGTACCTCCAGCTCTTCGGCCTCCTTCCACCGCCCTTGGTTCCTATACGTCGACGCTAGGTTGGTCATGCTGTTCAGCGTGTCAGGATGCTCGTCCCCAAGCACCCTCTTTCTCGTCTCCATCACTTGTACCTCCAGCTCTCCGGCCTCGTTATACCGTCCGTCACTATATAGAGCCATAGCACATTTCTGCGCAAGTTCTAATGTGCTGTTGTTGTTGTTGTGATCCGCTACACTTTGCAACAGAGCGTACTGAGCATGCGGAAGGAACCGTCTCCATTTGCTTCTATTACTATTTTCGTTGTCTGGGAACACGCGAAGGAGCTGTGCGATAGTGCGTTCCGTCCACTGTCGGAGCCCTTCCTGCACTTGTAGCAGCTTGCGTAGAGCTTGATGAACTAGTCGATGAACGTCAAGTGCAGATTCAGCAGGTCGCCTAGTGATGAGCGCATACTTGTTAAGTAGTTCAATAGCATCTTGTCTTTTTTGCGGCGAGGCTGTCTCTAGAAGTTCGAGTGGAATGTCCTTCCGGTCTACGCATGCAGCAAGAAATAGGCAATCGACGGCAAACGCATTGTTACGACTAATTTGACCTATAGAGAGAAACAATGTAGTAGCTACAGGATCTCTCATGCTAGAGCTTACCAGTTTACCTGTAGACGTATCACTGCTATACTTAAGAGCGAGTTCTTTGTGTTCGTCTTGTTGTGATTGGTACTCCTGCACTGTCATGCCACTAGCATTTATGCACGCTGCTGCTTGCACGATCGCTAGAGGCAGATACAACAGCTCTCTTAACAAGTGCTTGGCTTCCTGCTGCTCAGTGTTCGAGAGTGGCGTTACTAAGCGGCTTTGCAGCATCCTCAGCGCTATGTCTTGTGTTAATTCTCGCAGCGCTATAACGTTTTGTGGAGCAAGTGCCCGAGCTGTATCGCTGTTCGTTGTTGTGAAGATGGCAGAACATAGCCTAGACTTTGGTAGACACTCGACTAACTCTCCAGGTTCTGTCGTGGACGAGGCGCTGGGTCGTAGAGTGGTGTCCTCGACGTTATCGAAGATCAGCAGACACTGCCGCACACTCATCTCTGCCGTACAGCGTCGCATGACCCACTTCATGTCTGCCTGGTCGTCGTCCCACCCAGGGATACAAAGCTTCTGCGCAATATTGGCGTAAGACTGGTACAAGCTGTCTATACCGCTCGCATCGATCCAGAAGACCGAGCAGTCCCTGTTGTTCTGCCTTGTTCTGTGTGCAGCCTCGAGCGCGAGCTGCGACTTGCCTGCTCCACCAGGCCCGACTATTGCTAGCGTCGTGGTGGTCTGGTCGCTGCTGAAGAGCTTCGCCTCTAGTTCGGCAAGCTGCAACTCACGGCCTACGAAAAACTCGTTTCGTGTGAACGGGATGATCGAAGGTGCACTGCCAGCTGTCTCTACTTCGGCCTGCAGTCTTCTCCATGCACTCTCCTGTCCTTCGCCATACGTGGTAGGCATGGAAACACCAAGAACTCCTAGCAGGCAGTATACAATATCTTCCTCTTCAGTCGTTTCGCGATTCTCGACCCATCGCCTTCGTTCAGATATGCTGAACTGGTCTAAAGAGCAGTTGCGAAGTGCCGCAAGCGGGATACTGGTAATGTCGTGTAGTAGCTGATTAAGCGACAATTTGTCACCTATGCGATGTCCTTCGGACGAGAAAAACTCAACGGACACTGGCGCGATCAGCTCTTGGAGCGTCCAACCGCGAGTGAACCATGCACTGGCACGGAACGACGTTTCCCAGTCGCTGCGTTGGACCGGCTCTGTCTCAGTCGACACCGACACGTCTGACAAGAAGACGTAGCATCGTGTCGCACTCTTATACCACTGGAACATCGAGTTAATCGCCCAGGAGCGCTCGGTCTTGTTCCATCTGTCGATGCAGCAGGTATCGATCCAAAAGTACTGCAGCTCATCCCTGACCGCCTGCTCGGCGCAAAACTTAAGCTTTTTATAGCCTTCTTCTTTCTCCTTATATGCTTCTCTCGATACGTCTTCGATGAGAATCTCAGAGTCGCTCCATCTATGCGATAGAATAGCGTAGGGCGGAATCGGTTTGCCGCGAAAGTCTGTCAAAACGAGCTTACCCAGCGCGTTATAGTGGAGAAGTCGCATAGTGCTAGCAGTTTAGGTTTAGCCTAAGAAGGAAGTAGGGCGAACGACTTTTGTGGTGTTGAGGGTAGAAGCACGTAGTTGCGATAAGGCAGAGGAAACTTATGCTAGGCTGCTGTGAAGACAGCCTTGTGAGACCAGGCTTAGGGCCACAGCCTCTTGCAACACTCATGTCAACATGGTAGCTTGCGCAGCCATGTAGCTCGTATGAGTGCAAGGACAATGTGGTGTTGCAAACACTTTGCGTACGGTTCCTGAGAAATGCGTTGAAGAGTCGATTACGTCGCCGAAGAGCAGTACGAACCGGAGTCTGGTACCACTCGGTAGCAGTCATTGATGCGGGCTCAGGGAAACGGCTGTCTGCACGACCGGGAATAAAACCTGCCTGCTGAGCCCCAGTTCTCAGCCACAGCGCGCGGCGCGGCCTGCAGACATCTCAGAAAGCTATTGCGTGCCTAGCATTGTTAAAGACGCACGGCTAGTTAGACGAGTTTTCGACGATCTTGTTAATTGCACGGAGAAACTGCTGGGATGTGCACTCTCTACCTTAAATTAATCTTTCAAGGCTGCAGTCCTACTCTTTATCTTGACTTCCTCTCTAGTCCACCGAGCTCTTTGCAAACTTACACTGTCGCAAATGAACAAGGGGGTGTTAGAAGAGAGTCTATTGACCACATTAACAGCATAGACGACAACAATGTCAGTAGCGCGTTTTTAGGTGTCGGAGCCTAACGTGCTAAGAGCACGAGAAGTGCAAAAGAGATGCATACTAGACCTGTCCATTTACAAGTGTGGTGAGAGCATTCCGAGCGCCCAGAAGAAATGGTGTCCCGTTACACCGTGCGTCCCGGCACGCAGGGATGGACGTTAACCTTACGCTTTCCATCAACGAAGAAACGAAGCCAAGTCATTTATGAACGAAAAAAAAGACCCAAGACACCAGCAAAAAAACTGATTCAATGATGTTTTTTCTCAATAATTATATAAAAGCCGTACAAGAAAAGAAAAAGATGCAACCTGTGCCCATATTTCCCACAACCTACGCTAATCCCAATGCCGAAAATGAGAAAGAAAAAAACACCGCTGGAAAATGCCAAAGTGGAATGCTGGAATGGAGGTTTGAATGTTTGTTTCACAGGACGGGAGAAAGAGGGTTTGGTGAGATGATGCGCTAAGGATCAAAAGACGGAGGAGTGGGTATGCATATAAGTGTGTGGTGTGTGAGAGTGGCTCAGAGTCTGATTAACCGTAGCTATGCAGGCGTTGTCCCAAAAAAAGACAAAAACAAAGACGAGAGACGTTCATCGAACCGCCCATTTCATTTTCACACACACTCTCTCTCGGGAGGAGAGTGGGGGAGTAAAGCAACAAAAAGATGCTTATACTTTTGTTCATAGTTTCGTCACACCGTTCAAGGTCATGAATAGGTAATTCGTGGAAAAAGAAGAATGATAATAAAAGATAAACAAAGTAGTTTTCTTTAAGAAGAAGAAGACGAAGACGAAAATTAAATCAATGCTCGTCTTCACTACTCCATCCCCCATCATCTTCTTGATCGATACTCTCCATGACTTCTTTGATGACGCCGTGGCTTTTTGGGTCGAGATTCATGGCAATGGTAAGGTGGCGGATGGCACTTGAGCGGTCGCGCAGTTTCTTGTAGCATCTTCCTAGTAGGAAATGGATGTTTGGGTCGTCGGGTGCGGCGTCTTTGAGGTACAGGAGTTCCTTGAGGGCTTCTTGTGAGGCATTTAGTTTGAGAAGGACTTGGGATTTGCGGAAACGGGCCATGACGGAGCGGGGGTCGATTCTGATGGCCTTTTCGAATTGCAAGAGGGCGGGCTCGATTTTCTTCATGCGATCCAGAACCTGGGAATTTATTAATTGGTTGAAGTGGGCAGTGTGCGTATGTAAATGACTTACAAGACCAATTCGAACAAGTATCATGGCGTTGTTCTGGTTGATTTCTGCCGCCGCTCGATAGTGCTTCTCAGCTACTTCATACTTACCCAGACGTTCATACACATTGCCCAGACCATACCAGCCATTGTAGTGCCGGTTATCTGCGCTGATGGCGTTGCGGTAAGCAGCCATGGCTTTGTCAAACTCTTCATTCGCCACGTGCTCGTGTCCTTGTAGTGTGTAAGCGTAGGCGAACTTTGGATCCAGCTGTGTAGCGCGCGAGAAACATTTTACAGCATCATCATGCTGCCGGTCTAGAGAACTAGCATTGCCGAGTGCACACCATGCTTGTGGAGAGAGTCGGTCTTGATCCATAAGTGTGTGGGCAAGGTGGCCCAAGGATACCTCATCTTTCAGTTGCCATAATGTGTTGGAATATACCTCCATATGCTCTAATGAAGAGGGCGCCATTTCTCGAATCTTTCGGAATGTGCTGCCTGCCTCTGCGTAGTGTGTGCGCTCGTAGTACGCTTTGCCGATTTGTGCAAGGACCCAGGGTGTTTCGCGCTGTGCCTTGGGTACGGCTGTGAATGCTTCCAACGCCTTGGACGCATCATAACGACTCAGATGTCGATAGCCCGAACCAATCTTGAGAAGTAGGTCCAGCAACCAATTCAAAATCTCCCGCTCCCGTGATGTGTCGGCCGGTGGAGCCATTCTCGGAGGTGGAGCTACAGCCACTGGCGCCCCGTTTTGAGGTCTACCCTCAAGTTTCGATGGCTCAGACGTCTCGATATGCGGTTTCCTGTTTCCACTAACAACTCTTCCTACAGTCGATGTAGTCCCTGATCGTGATTTAGGAGCCGCGGCTCTTGCTTTTCGCATCTCACGCCGCTCTTTCGACTCAATTTCTTTACTTGATGTCATCCCTTGCCTGGGGTTTGATGGTCGGATCTGGGTAATGGAGTTTAACAACCTCACACTACGCCGTGGTGGCGCTGCAGTGGGATCCAACGGCTGGGGAGGTGCGTTCTGCGTTTGGTGTAATGAATGGCCAGAAACAGTCCTCTTATGTCCGTTCTGGTATACGGGTCGTGGGATGTCCGTCTGATCGCCATCTGGATTCGTCTTGGTGCGTACCCTTGAAGTGACTGCCCGTGACATGACAGGGCCACCGGTTTCAGCCATCATGACATGTTCATCATGCATATTCTGGCCATTCGCCACTGGGGTGTCGAATTCGTGGTGCGAGTTGGGTTGCGTAGCGCGACCGTTCAGTTTTGAAAGTAGATTTGATCCTCCCATATTAAGTCCACCATCGTTGGCCTGCCTTGAGGTGTTGAAGGGATCTGTATCAGGTGTTGAGGCGAAGGGAAGCATATCAGGTGTGATCTTGAAGATGTTGTGTGGGCGGACGACGGCGCCAATATCGCAGAGGCCGGTGAATGCATCCCACATGAAGGAATTGATCTTGAGCGCTTCGACGAAGTAGTCAATGGCTTTCCTTGTATCGCCATGTGCTGCGTATAGTTTTCCTAGTAGGCAATAGCAGGCTGCTGCGTCTGGAACATGTCGTCGCGAAGTCTCGGAATGTTTATCTAGGTTCTTTGTTAGCGGATCGGGGCCGAGAAGGCCTGCGTGGACAACCTACTCCAGTGGTTGCGCCCTGCCCACAGACCGCGCACCTTCTCCAGCGCCTGGCCACCCTGCTCGTGGCGGCCTAGGGCGAGACAAGCGTGGGCGAATACGTAAGCGCATCCCAGATGCTGTGTGTGCATTCCCTTGGTGCGCGCATCGTCAAAAGCGGCCTTGTATCTACCGAGGCGGAGATTGCAGAGGGCAAGCAGGTGCGCTGCATCTGGATTGCGGGGTTCGAGTGCTTGCAAGCGGCCAGCAAGGAACAGGGCGTTTTCAACAAAGCCGTTGTCGAGATGGTAGTGTATGAGCTGGCGCAGCTGGGCATTGACGCCTGGCGGGGGTGACATGCTTTCCTGACGACAAGGCGAGGATCTAGGCTGGAGGGCTCATAGTACGAGTGATCATGGGAAGAGCGGAGGTGGCGGTAAGACTTGGTGAGGGCGTGGGCCCTGGGGGTCGTTGTAGGGAAGGCGTGTTGTGGTGAAGGTCGTTTGAGTGTCTCGGTGGCTGTTCGGAGTGATGCTGGCGGCGTGTTCGACAAAGTGAATTGGTAAACACGGGTTCACACAAATCCAACGGCAGTAGAGATCGGTATAGTCCGGACGAGTGCGTAGGAAGAAGAGACGGCGGCGGCGATGTTCGCGACGTTTGTTGCTCGCCTTTGTCGCGATCTAGGCTGCGCGCGCTTGTTATGGCGCTCGGGCCATACACATCACAATCCTCCTTCACAGTTCCGCACCCTGTTTTTGCTGCTTCACCGCACTCGCCGTCATCATGGCACAGGTACGTCTTGCACGCCACACCAGTCCTCCGCCGCGAGATGCGTCGTCGAAGAAACCCATCTCGCCTCGACAATCGCTCATCCCTTGCCTAGAAAGCTACCAAAACGCTTGCCGCCTCCAACACCAAGCGCCTTAACCAGACCCTCTACGTCACACTAGTTGTCCATGGCTTCTGGTGGCTGTTCCGAGCCCTCATCTTCCGATCCTCTCTATCACGCACGTCGCTGCTTCTCTACCTACTTCTCTCGGCCCCGCAGCTCCTCATCCAGCTTTACTTTGAGCGTCTCTCTCGCCCCACCTTCACTGCCGATGGCGCCGTGAAGCGACCTGGCGAGGACCTCGATGCTAAGGGCCTGACCGAGTACATGTGGGATGTGGTTTACTGGACCTATGGCTGCATCATTCTGGCTGCCATTGTGGGCGACTATGCTTGGTTTCTGTGGACTGTCATCCCCGCCTACAGTGCCTATGCTGCCTGGGGCACTTACTCTGGCATGAGAGGCGGGTTCCAGGATGCTGCAGGTGTGCCCCAGCCGCAGGCAAGCAAGAGACAGGCCAAGATGGAGAAGCGGGGTGGCCAGAAGGTCCAGTACCGGTGAAGAAAAGAAAAGTCTCGTCGAAACTTGTACATGGCAGAGCTAGCAATCGACTTGGTTCGTGTACACCATGTCACAATGCATGCTCTTGTAGGAAAAGTCGTAATCATTCATGCGCCCTGTGGTAGGCATGTAGAGTCGTGATCATACAATATGTTATACATCAAGGAAGCCCACGTCATGGACTGCGTAAGAGTTTTGGGTTGCTTCCCTTGTGCGATCCGTGTGTGGACGCGTGCTTTGATCATGTGATTTTACACTAAGATGCACCTATGCTTCCACCCGCGTAGGGATCTTGGGTATACCTCGCTTGCGGTCCTGATGTGGTACACCGTACCGCCATCCAGCTGCCGCCGCTCCTCTTCCATGGCGTCCCGCAGCTTCGACACTAACGTCCTGAATAACAAAATCCCATCTCCGTTGGGGCACCACCTTCAAGGCCCTGAGCTCGGCCTCCTTCTTTCTCTCCTCTTTCTTCTTCTGTTCTTGTTGCTTTTCTAGGCGCTCTTCAGCAAGCTTCCTTCGCTCCTCGAAGCCAAGGCCTGCCTCGAGTTCACGCTCTGCCTGCACCAGTTCTGGGTGGGGAATACGCGCATCAGCAGGCAGGAGGTTATTATCAAACGCCTTACCAGCATCCACACGTGTAAAGCGGCGTGACTCGGCAACTGGCACAAATAGTTGTTGCCGTGTCGCGGGATGCACAATAAGGTCATTAATAGGTTCATGAGTGACTGGCCTCTTGCCTTTGTTCTGTGGTAAAGAGGGGTCGATAAACGGAGTTGTAGGGAGCATGGAAAGGACAGCTTTGGAATAAGGCAATGCCAGCTTCTTGCCCTGTTGAAATCGCGTCAGCAATTGTTGTCAAGCGTGTTGCGGTTCATATAGTAGATGTGATGACGACGTTCAGCAAGAGCATGACTTAAGTTTTGTAACCATGTGGGTGTCTTAAAGACTAATCGATTTTTTAAGAAGCTCATCATGTCGTGGGAAGGTGTAGAAAAGATGTAACATACCTGGGCTACCCACTCCTTCTCCATCTGCTTCAACCGCACCACGGCGCCAACACGTTCGTTGCTGACGCCGAACTCGACGCTGGCAAGTGATACGGTCGCGCCTTCCTTTTTCACTCGATTGTATATCGCTTCGCGCAAGTCCTCACTCAGGACTGGTTGACTGCGAAAATACTGATTGAGGGGAAATGGTCGCAAGTCTTCCGCCGTTTCTGGGGGAAGCTTGCCATCATCCGCCTCTTCGCCTTTCTTGCTCATCTCTTTGCTTTCAGCATCACTAGACCGTATCGCTGCTTCCAGCTCGTCCAGATTCTCTTGTGCTTCGGGCGTTTTCTCCTCGGCCGGTTTGTCCGCCTGGGATTCGGCATTGGATGTGTCCGTCTTGGTCGCAGTAGCAGCTTTCGCAGCGCCATCCTTTCGCCATCCTGGACCCGCGCGTACTAGGTTGCCATACTTGTCGTAGGCTCCTAAGTAGTTTGTTGAATCAGGTATGGGTTCCTTCAGCTGTCGACCAGGCCCATTGAGCCACTCATAGAATTTCCTCCGCCGTAATGTCACTTGAGCACATGGTGTCTGTGAAAATTGCCGCGATGACCGCACTGGTAACGACGAAGTATGTGGCCTCGCGACTGGGCACGAGGAAATCTGTGGGAAAGCTGGTGCTGAAAATTTTGAAGCTTGTAACCGAGGAGGCATGTTGGGTCGGGCAGATGCTACCGCATTGGCGTGGGCGAATAGAATTACAAGAGGGGAAGAAGAAGGGAAGAGGCGGATGGGTATAATAGGCAGTGATGCAGCAGAGTGTGAAGTGATGGTTAGCTTGCAGGAAATTCTGAGCAAGTCGGAATTTGTGGCTAGCGTCTTGGCATCCATACATAGCGTAGCCTTGGGACTTCTACACTGCAACAGAAATGAGATTCGACGACGTACCACGAATTGAGCCAATTGATGTGACTTTAACGTATAAGTTCTTCAGCTACAACGGCTTCAAGGAACCTACCCAATCACACATGAAACAACAAACGAAAGCATTGCATCACCATGGTCAATGAGGTCTTGTTAGACGCACCTTAGTTTCCATCCCTAACTCCACATTTGCATTTAAAAGGGTATTGAGTATAACAAGGCCGTTGCATACAGAGCAAAAGCCACTGCGAGGGGAGCATGAGCGAAACGTGAATGCCAACGAATCAATACGCTGTAAAGACAGGATAGTGTCCATCCCAGACATACCGTAGCGCTGCATGCGCATCTATCGTGTAAATGAGCCCCTAAAAAAACGAGAAGAAACAATCGTAAACTAATCCAAGTGCTCTCCATGCAAAGACACCGGCATCTGCATGTTCTGCTAATCGCCCATGGAAAGCCAATGCCCGTTAGAACTTGGTCGCGCCGAACAATGAGTACCAGTAATAAATGTGCTGCAAATGAATAAGAGACAAACAACATCGAAAAAACCCCAAAGATACGCTCACAGCATGAACATAGGAATGCCCATGCAATTCGGCTTTCCTGCGAAAATGACAGAAGAAATACTCTGGATAAATGCAAGCCCAAGGACCGTGCATAGGGAGGGAATAAAAAAAAATCAGAAAATAGATAAAAGCTCTCTCCGAACTCCATGGGGATACCAAATGAGCAATCGCACAAGGGGGAATCATCGCTGTATGCTGGAAAGAGGTCCACGTCCAACGGGCATGATAGCCCAGGAGATTCCGCGCCAGTACCCATGCCCGTAGTTTAATGAAGCCAAATACAACCCAGACACTCAACACCTTGCCATGACCGAAATGACTGAAAATAGTGTCAACAATAGACGAAGCAAAATTTGCAAATGCTCTGTGATGAATGCGCCGTCAACTCCGTTATCATCACTCGTAATGGCATAGCAGATTAGTATGGGTGCGCCTAGCGCCCCATCATGAATGAGGAGTAGCCTCCAAAGCCGTTGCCGGTGCCGCTGGACGCTAGTGGTTGACGCATAGAGGCAGCCATGTCGTTGGGACCCATCCCGAATCCCCCATTGGCGTACATGCCAAAGGCAGAGCTACCATTGGCGTGGCCTGCCGCGGATAGGCCGGGAGGTGCTGACAAGCCCGGTGGTGGGCCAGTAGCGGTTGAGAAACCAGGAGGGGCAGCGACGCCGTTACCAAAAGCTGAAAGAGGGGTAGTTGGGGTGATGGCAGACTGTGGACCCAGGCCAGAGTTCTGGCCGCTGCGCACACCCAAGGGATTCTTGGAAAAGCTCAGGCGGATACCGCCCTTGACACTGTTGTGGAGCATGTATCCATAAAGTTCGTTGAGAGCCTTGGTAGCAAAAGACGTGTCTTCAAATTCGACAAAGCACATGGGGCCGTTTTGCTTGGTCCGGAAACAGAGGCGCTTGTATCCGCGCTGCTTTGAAAAGACGGCTTTGAGCTCGTCCTCGGAGGTATCCATTGGGAGATTGCCCACATAAAGAGTGTTGCACGGTGGGTTCTGGTCGGCGGGATTCACGGGGGGATACGTGGGCCTGGCAAAATGCTGAGAATACTGCTGGTAGCCAGTGCTCGGTCCACTACTCAAAGCAGATGGAATGCTATGCGGAGACATGGCAGACATGGTAGACATGGTGGGAACTGGTGATTGCATGTTGGAACCGGAACGAGGCGATGCATAGTTTGACATGGGCGGCGATTTGACTCCAGTAGCGCCGTTGGTGTTGAGAGAAAGACTTCCAAAGCGCTGGACGGGAATGGTGGAAGAGTTTGGGTTTGTGGCGCGGCGCTGCATGCTTGACTGAGCCTGGGGGCCACCAGTGGCATATCCAATCGACTCGTTCAGCAGCCCATCATCATCGTCCGCCTCGTCATTGATGACTGACTTGCCCAAATTGCGGCTCGCAAAAGACGTGTTGACGGGAGATGTCGGCGAGAAGAGGTTGTTGACCGGGAATTCTCCGTTGCCAAGACCTGGGGTCCCGTTGGGTGGGGACATCTTCTCCATGTTTTGGAAGGTGCCGTTGTATCGCGATGACTGTCGGCCATTGGCAGTCGAGGTGGACATTGAGCTTACCACAGAGGCCTGGCGCGCGGGTATGCTGTCGAGGGTGTTGCGGCGTGACCCGACGGTGCCGGAAGGTGCCTCGTGCATCAACTCGACGACCAGTGTGGCATCGTTGGTGGCATTGCGCTTGCCGTGTAGTAGATCGCGGGCTTCCTTTGCGCCCTCGTACGTCTGGAAATGGGCGACGGCGCAGGCAAAACCCTTGTCGTCTGCGTGCCGGGGCTGTGAGAGGACCTCGCAGTCAATGAGGTCTTTGGCAAAGAGGAGAATGTTGCGCACTGCCTCACGGTCGCTATTGCTGGGCAGCTTGCGCAAAAGAATGCTGTGGCGAGGGCTGACAACGGAACCTTTGTCCAGGGGCCTGCGCTCTCCGATTGCGCCGGGGGTAGGATAGGCGTGTGGTGCAAAGGCGTCGGCAGTCATGGTGTTGTGCGAGGCAAAGAGCTTTGGCGGCGACGACGATGTGGAGCTGGTGTGGGAGCCGTGGGGGAAGGGGCTGTTGGACAGGACCGAAGGACTTGTGCTGCTGGGGCTAGGTCTGGTGGCCATGGTGTCGTGTGTGGTGACGCTGTCGGGATGGGTGTCGCAGAGACAAAGGACGCGGCCAGAAGGGTGCGACGGGCAGCCAAGAGCAGCGCTGGCAGGCAGCGGGTGACGGGATGAGCATGCGCCAGAGACAAAGGGAGGGGTCGTATGCGCAGTTGGAAACGAAGGGGATATGCGAGAGAGCGAGGTGACGGTGGTGTGCGGAGGGTGGGCAGAAAACAGGCGTCGACTCAGGCCAGCGATGGTGGTAGGCAGAGGGGCTTTTTGGGCGCAGACGCGGACTCGAGCTGGGAGCGACGGCGAGCCTGGGCGATCCGCGCTGTCGAAGCGGCCTGGGGGGTGGGACGCTTAAGCCAATGGGCGGCAGGGCCAGGAGCCGCGCCGGGTGTCGTCAGAGGATATACGCACTTACAGGCACACTGCAGCCGTAGAGGGGAGGATGATGGTAGTAATGGTGGTGCCCAACTAGTCGCAGCTGTCTTGCACCTGCTCTTGTTTTTCTCGATCGCCGTGGTGCTAGTCGCTGTCGCAGCAGCAGAGCTGGCAGGGTAGGGATTGCAGCCTTGCAGGAGTGGAAAAGGAGTGGTGGTGGTGGCAGTGAGGGGGGGATGCTGATGTTGGAGAAGGAGGACGTGATTGTGGTGGTGGTGGGGTGGTGGTAGTAGTGGTGGAGAGGCAAGTAGGGGAACAGAGCAAGGCAGGGCAGGGCAGGCAGGCAGAGACAACGGTTGGGGGTGCGACTGGCTTCTGCTTGGTGACAAGCCAGCGGAGGCGGCGCGCGTTGGGAGCGGACCATGCTTGGGGAGATGGAGGGGGGAAAGGGAGAGCCACAGTGCTGAGCTAGTTTGATTACATACTGTGTGCGAGTCCTGGATTCGCTGTCGCACTCATCGACAGGTACACCCTTCTGCCCCCCTCGCTCTCGCCCTCGCCTCTCCGTCGAAGCGACAGACGCCACCCACCACACAGCGGACGAGTCGAGCGTATCGTCGAGCCGTGTGTGTATCCTGCCTCTGGCTGTCGGCTGGTGCAACAGGGGCGGGTGTGTGAGCAACGTTGGGTCTAGGCCGGGGCGCAGCTTTAGCCTACGCATACGTACTGCGTAGACTCTGTGTGCGGCATGTCGCGGATTTGGGTGCAGGCTCCACACGGCGGCCAAGTGGGCGCTCACAGGCTGACTGGCCGGCCCTCCTCCCAGTCCGGACAGCGGGCAGGAAGGCAAAAGAAAAGGACTGAGACCATGGCAATGGCGGCGAGTGAGCATTAGTGCAGTGCCGCAGCCCGCCTTTGTGGTTGTGGCTCCTGGTGCCTGCCCCAGCCGTGGCCGGGCTGGCGACCATGCCCACCATGCCCACCATGCCCACCACGCCCGGCTGTTTGGCGCACCAAGTACCGGGCCTCGAGCGAATCATGGCTGCGAGGGGCGCCCACAGCGAGATCGGCCTCAGGACCCAGCGCTCGAGATCCACGGAACTGCTGTTCGCCAATGGCCGTCGCCCTAGGCCCTCGCGCCCTACGACGCCTCTCTACCTCTGCCTCTGGCGCCCGCGAACCATGGCTGGCGGCCTCTGACTGCTTGGGGGCCTGCTCGGTGCTGCTCTTGCTGCTGCTGCTGCTGTGCCCAACCTTATCCTTCCGCGTCGGAAACCCATGTCATCTTTTAGGTCAGGCAGCAGATGCAGCATCCATCGGCTCTAGCCACCAATCACCCAAGCCCGCCGCTGCCCTCGGCATGCCGGTCCACGCCCGAGCCAAAAGCAACCACTGTCTTTCTTAACAACCTCCTCTAGACCTCTCGCCGGCAAAACCCCTCGTCGCTGTGACTGGCCACGTGCAGCGCTGCCAGATGCATGGCGCTCCCGCTCACACTTCTTCTTTGACTAGAGCCGAGCTGTGGGCCGCCAGTAGCCTCGCTGATTGGGTCATGGGCCAAAAAGCCTGTTTTCCGTCCCACCCCTGCCCGCATCCCCATCCATGTTCCATACATACTTACTTTGTCTCTTGCCATCGCCTGTCCAACAACCCTCTCGAGTCACGGTGCGTCAGTTTATCACAAATCTCCTGTAACCCAAGCCAGCCAGCAAGTGCCGCCTACCTACATACTTGACACGACCCTTTTCCTGCTTCATGACCTGTGCGTCGTTGCATGCGCCGCTTCCTCGTCCAAGCCGGCAACCATTCCCAACACCATACACACATTCCCTTCCTCGGCCGCTCAAACTATCTTGAAACGTTATCATCCTTTCCCATGTGATAGTTCCACTCGTATCCGTTCGCCTCCTCGGACTTTCATGCTCATTGTGCAATCTCGTCGCGGCATGCACCAATCAACCCCCGACACCACTACACCTAGCCAAACCAATCTCAGCCCCGTGGATGATGAAAGTGGCGTCTTGGTTAGTAGAATGTCCAGCGTCCAAGTGGTGGGCATGGTATCTCTGGCTGCTGATTGGGCAGGTTTCGGTATTACCATCACATTTACCCTGATTTCCCACGAGTCACAAGAACGTTGTGAATCGACTGTAACACCAACACCTATGTCGAGCCCCTAGCATTGATGTTAGGCTGTAGAATACCGGTTACGTACTTGTGAGTATTAGGCAAGCACTGCATTGTCGAACTAAGTACTTGCTGAGAAATCCCTTGGCCCTGTCAATTCATCACATGTTGCACAAGCAAGAGGGGTTTTCAACTACCTTAGTCTCTATTTCCTCATCACGTGCCTATGCACAACAACACAATGTCGTATGAAAAAGGTCAATCACTACAGTGAGCGTACTCTGACCCGTCGTTTGCGGCACATGTGATGATCAGCCATATCCCAGCTGACGATCTTGGTTCATGTAATATAGCCCAATCTTGACAGAGAGGCATGTGTCTCTTGCCTTACGTGTGGCCAATGGCAACATTCTACTCCCACGTGGAAAGCTAGCTATCACAAGCAACATCAACACAGTATATGCGTCTGCTGCCTAGACCCTCTAACATATATAAAAAAGAAAAGTGGGGGCTGCGACGCATGCTGTCAAAGCTACATCGCAATACCACTCGTATGCATCGTGTCTTGTCGTTGACAAATCACGCCAATAGTCCTCAATCGACACACATGACTGCGAAATGATAGGAAATTTTCCCTCCAGTTTTCCATGAAACGATAGAAAATGTATCTCCTACAACAAAGGACTCCATCGCACTTGCCTCGCCACCAGTCATACAACAACCAATCAAGCGCCACATGCTGCGCCACGTCTATCATACGTCACCACTACCTGCATGTGATTTGTACACAACGGAAGGAATGGGCAATTGTTGGTTTAAACATCAATAAAGACGGTAGTCCCGTTGTATGATATTGCTCATAATAATCCAAAGAGTCCAGAATCACGAATAAGTGTATCTTAAGAAAGCGCGGTCAATATCACATTTCAAGGCGCCTCCCTCAATCCGTCATAATACTCTCATCCCACTGGATATCTACCAGTCAGTAACGCACCTCTATCATTTGGTACAACAGTCTGCTCATCCCGTGTTGCAGGAAGCAGGTGCAACACCCGCTTACGTATCCACACCCCATCTTGCCACCTCAACAAGGTTCCTGCACATCAACTCCCGCCTGAGCCTATTCCAAACAAACTCCATCTCTCCACACCGAATCAAATCAACCAACCTACCATGGCCGGTCTCATCGCTATCGGCATCGGTTTAGGCGCCGAAAAACTCGGCCGCACAATCTCCGAGAAAAGACTGGAACGAAAAGAGAAAAAAGCCATCGCTGTATACATTGTCCCCCAGTTCATAGGCTGATATCGTTTTGTATACTGACATTCTCGCGCAGCAACATGAAGCAATATACGGCACTTCTTCGTCTGCGCCCCCACCGCCAATGACGACAAGGCAGCGGCAAGAGCAGATGCAGAAGAAGCGTGCGGATGCGCAGCGAGCACTGGATGAGGCTCGTCATAGTGACCATTCTGAATCACAGCACAATTACAGGCGGAGAAGTTCGAGTGCAGAGAGGGTAAGTGAGGAGGAAGCGCCGCCGAGTTACAGTGAGGCGATGCGGCAGGGGGCTGCAAGAAGTTGATTTATGTTCTGCGGGTTTTTTTACTTTGCTTCATTTGGATTATGTGCTATTCGCTCCTTCGGTTGACTTTATATCGCCTTTTTTCGTCAAGTTTGTCGGACTAGCACGTCCGAATCTTTTCGTTTGACGCCTAGTACAATGTTTTGCAATCGCTACCATGCCACTCGGCCCTGGTGCTTGGGATTTATCACAACAGATTTCTTTTTTTTTAAATAGATTTTCTTTCGTCTACTATAATACCACAAATTGGGATATCCTACACGCTTCGTTCCCAGCGAGTCCATTTCGAGCACGCTTCTACACCGTCACTCCGCAATTTTGTATTTCATACCAAGTCAAGTCATGCTTTGTTTGTTATCGCAGTTTCACTCAAGACTACTTTGGCTGCGCACTCACCTCCACACCAAGCAACCACTCACTCACTCGTCGCTTCCGTCTGCTCTTTCCTATTTCGTTTGCCACACAAACCCTTTTTTCTCGTCAATCAGTGTACTATATATCTCCCCAATCGCACCAAAACAGAAGAATTCTTCTCACTACACTTCGCTCGTTACTCCATCTCACGGCGCGTTCGAGTACCTACAATTCGACCCAAAGCTTCCACGCTGTAGAAGAAAGCAATCAGTACGCATCATGACACACGACCGCGTCGAAGCGCCCGTCACGCTTCGAGGATATCTCCTCTGCGTCTTCGCGGCCTTTGGTAGCATTCTGTTCGGTTATGACTCCGGATGTATTAATGGAGTGCTTGGGATGTTGTACTTCAAGCAGCAATTTGGGAGTAAGTCGAGTCCAAACCCTGTGCTAACTTTTGAGGTGATTTGATGTGTTGTCTGTATACTAAGCACACGATCAGGCCCTTCGAATGACAAAGATGCATACACCGGTCTTCTCTACCAGACGTGGGAGAATTCTCTTATCGTCTCCATTCTCTCCGCTGGTACCTTCTTCGGCGCACTGGCTGCAGGCTGTGGCTGACTGGATTGGTCGTCGCTCTACTGTCATTGTGGGATGCGCCATCTTTTCCGTCGGAGTCATATTCCAAGTCGCTTCTACCACCGTCGCTCTGCTCGGCCACACAGACGGATCTTCCCCGGACACGACCGAGAAGATGGGCCACCAAGGTCCGCTTGAGCAGGGCGAGCAAAAGGGTGTTTGAATTGTTTTCAGCGCGTGACCCCAGTAACTGCAAGACAAAGTGTTATATGGGGAACACTGTCAGAAGTTCTATCAGGAAAGGTCTTAGCCAATGCCGCTAGAATCAAAGTTTAGAGTAGCGCTCTGCGAGACAGCGTCTCGTAACTTGAAAGCTTTGTAGTGTACTAGCACAGCCATGCAATTATCAAATAAAAGTAGATCCATTAGTTTCTTGTTCGCCTAGTGTGACTTGACCAGCATATTTGCATGTTGTACGCGAGGCTGTTGCGGAATGTTAAGTATCAGAAGTGAAACATGATGTGTAAGCCTCCCGGGATGTGGAGTTGATGACAGCCTCGCGCGGAATTAGTGCGCACCTCAAACACTGTAGCTGACGGGTGGATTGTAAATCGCCTCGGCAACCAGACACAGCTACATGCCGACCCCGATGGCAACATTAGGCGGTGAGATGGCATATGAAACCTTCGCGTATGTATCGTAGTATTAACTAAAAACATCTGCACTTGCTTATGCCAATCGTACAAACCCCAACTGATCACGTCATGCCATGGCCGTTTTAGCTGCTCGCTCATTGTTCATCGGCCTGATATCGGGCTTGCTACTTGCCTTGCTGCTGCGGAATATACTAGCACCTACTGAATTCCAATCACCGGCTCAGGACATATCCGAAGACCGTCTTTCCACGGATTCCCCACTACAACTATCCGAATCCATGGTGCAGATGCTGAGCAATACCCTGCGCGCTGCCAGGTATCGTGCGTGGGTCGGCGGGGGATACAAGAGCGTGGCCTCACCCCTCCATTTGACACCACAATCCTCAATTCCCTCTTCTACTACTCCAAGCAAGCTTGCCTCTTCCTCTTCAGCTTTTTCAACAAAACCACCCCTCATGTCTGCTCAAAAGTCTTTCCTCGACGCCGTCAAGGAGCGTCGCACAATCTACGCGCTCAACAAGCAATCGCCCATCTCAGACAAGAAGATTGCCGAACTTGCAGAGCTGGCTCTGCTTAATGTTCCTTCATCCTTCAATTCTCAGAGCACCCGTCTTGTTGTGCTGTTAAACAAGGACCACGATCAGTTCTGGGACTATGTCCTCGAGGTCTTGAAGCCTCTTACCCCCGAGGACAAGTTCGCTGGGACACAAGAAAGAGTTGGAGGATTCAAGGCTGGCTATGGAACAGTATGTATTCCTTCTCCTCCTATATTGCCATCGCTGTGGAAGTCTTGCAATGTATGACAAAGGCTGTGCTGCCCCACTATACAAGACCCAAGCTTCGTCCCCAACCACCAACTGCGAGGCCTTTCACCGAAAGCATTGGAAAGTACAAAAACATGGACTAACATAATCCTAGATCCTCTTCTACGAAGACCCCGAGCCAGTCGAAGGACTCCGCAAAGCATTCCGTACGTCACCTCAATCATCTTACCCATTCACTCAACCTTTATACTAACCTCATCTCCACACAGCCCCCTATGCCCACCACTTCGGCGACTGGTCCGAGCAGACAAACGCCATGCACCAATACGCCCTCTGGGTCGCCCTCGAAGCCGAAGGCTTCGGCGCCAACCTCCAGCACTACAACCCCGTCGTCGACCCCAAGGCCGCAGAGCACTGGAAGATCCCTCTCGACTGGAAACTCAGGGCCCAACTCGTCTTTGGCGGTCGTGCTGGTGAGGCTGGTGAGAAGGAGCACAAGCCCACGCATGGAACGAGGTTGTTTGTGCATGGAGCTAAGATCTAAGAGCGAGATGCTGTAAAGCGAAAAGAATTGTATAGAGATGAGATGTAGAAGTGTGGGAGAATATATACCCTTTTGACTTTTTATCTTTTATCCCTTTGTTGTTGCATAAGAGATTTGTTTTTCGGCCCCATGTATCCTTACACATGTGTGCACGCGATTCAGACGGGTTTACCCAAACTCATCTCCCCAAAAAAGATAAAAAAAATATTTGCGATGCTGCCGAGCATCTTTCGCAATCGCGCCGCTTACTACCTTGACTCGAGTTGTTTCCCCACACCAAACTCACGATCCATCATTCCCCCAAGGCAGACTTTCTCCCCCAAAACAGCCTTGCGCAGTCAATCTATTTATGCCCTCACAGTTTTTCCTCTTCTTCCCCCCCCCCTTTCTGTGAGGCTGACCACATACCCACACACACACCCACAAAAACAACGACAAACCCCGACCGAACCGATGTCATGCCGCTAGCGTTTGTAGTTAACTCCGTAAGTATGTTGGCACAACACACAACGTTCGGTCGGATCGGTATGGTCGGAGATAACGTACAGTAAGGGAAAGTTCGGTTTTTGTACCTGAATGGGCATTGGTGAGTGCTGTGCTTGAAGGGGGGCTTAGGTTGCTGTAAGGGACTAGTGGTATGTCAAGTATGTAATGTGTCGGGTTAGGGGTAATGGGTGAATACGGCGGTTAAGTAGGTCCCCGAATTTAGAAAAATAAAAACTGTTATCGTGGGTGGTAATAAATTTCATGGTAAGTTAAAAAAAAAAAGGTAGGCTCGTTTTGGTAGGGGCGCCGGGGTGTGTACTAATACATCGGTTGTAGTACGGACGGGGAGTTTTTTTTTTGGATGAATCAATAACGGGGTTTCTTCTTGTAAATGTCAATGCAACTGTAAGGAAATCGAGTAATTCCACCATAGACTCAGCAAAGTCGCGGTACTATGCATATTTCAAAATGATGTCATTTTTGTGAATACGTGCGTGTCAGTGTGTATGTGCATGTCGATCTTCGTCTTCACAGCCTTGCTACCAAGAGATAGATACGACAAGGCGTCCCGTCCCGCCCCTGCATATCTCCATTGCGCATCGCCATCTTGCATCCTAACCCAACGGCCAGCCACTCCCCAAGTAAGAACGTCTTTTGTCGTCGGCAATTCCGTTCTCGCTTGACTCAGCCTCATTCCCCCCCATCTGCTGGTGGCTTGGCGGGACCGATGCTAGCGTCTGCATTTTACGATCCCGGTTGGTGGGTCAAGCTTTCTGCTCTTTGTCTCTATGTAGAATGTTTAGGTGCCCTAAGCCCCCCATGCATAGATGCGAGTACGTAGGATGCCAAGGCGAGGTACAGATGCGGACAGCCTGGTAGGTGTCGTTTGTGTGGACTTTTCCCATTTGAGAAGAGGAGGCATGGGGTGTGGGGAGATCTTTACTTGAGGAGGTCGATGTAGTAAGTACATAGCTATTTTCAGGCCCTCTTTTGCTTGCGGACAAGATGGTTCTTGGGGGCTTGGTAGTAAGGTACGATTGGTCAGTTTACTACATCTGAGCCTCCCTCCGATCCCAAGGATTTGGATATGGGGATTGACAAGTTGGGTTGCTGAATGGGGGTTTTTGCTCGGTGCTTCTGAGGGGATGAGGGCAATGTGAACGGCGAATTTGAATGGCGAGTTTGAACGGCGAGGAGGAGGCCTGAAGATGGGGTGTTTGAGAGTTGGGCGGTGAAGTTATGGAGAAGATGGAAATGTCAAGGTATAAAGGAGTGGTCGAGTCGCTGGAAGATGGAAGTATCATCATCATCTACCCAGCTTCTTCACTACTACAACAATCAAACACTCAGCTTGATTATCGATTTCCATTCAATCTACTCCTTATTCGATACAAGCAGCAATCATGCGTTCCGACACCATCACCACCATTGCTCTCCTCGCCGCCACTGCCACCGCCGGCGTGGTGCCCTCCATAAAACACGACCCCATCACCAAGCGCAGCGAAGCAGCTTGGAACACCAAAGGCAACATTAAACTCACCTGTACCTTTCCCCCCTTCCCTCTCTTCCCCTCCTCCCCCCATTCTAACACCCTCCACAGTCTCCAAGGAAACCGTCCAAGTCGGCTCCCTAACCCCCGACGCCATCATGGCCGCCGTCGGCCCCATCTGCCACGAATCCGGACAATGTGAAACCAACCCCATCGAACTCAGCGGCACCCTCACCAGCTCTTCCCGTGTCGACCCCATAAAAGTCACACTGGGCCCAGACGGCTCCTACCCAACCTGGATCCGCAACGGGCTCGTCGACCTCCTGGCGTTGGCCGCTAAGGAAGTCGCAAAGTGCGAGGAGGTCACGTATACGAATCGCTGCTTCGGCACTACCGCCATGGCGTATTGTCCGCAGAAGAAATCAAAGGGCATCAACTGTGAGGTCCCCAGGTTCTGGGGCATTAATTATCAGGCGCTTGATGCGCCAAATGCGGCGCCCCCGAATGTCGGGGTAGATATTGCGATGGAGAAGGTGGATCAGAGTAAGTTGTGCGAGGATGTTATGGGTGGGCTTGGGGCTGTGGCGGGTGTGGTGAATGGGTACGCGGGGGGTGCGTTTACGCTGCTTGCTTTTGCTTGTGTTTGAGGTGGAGGATGAAAGAGAGGAAAATGGGTGGTTGGGAGATTTTGTAAATAGTTCTTGAGACTTGTAGATATTAGGTTCATTGTATTGCGGTATTTTTGCATGAACTTCTAGTTTGCTTGAATGCGCTTTTATACAGTGTCGATAATCTCTTTGTAGGACTACAGTGAATCACCAGTTCAACACCAAGTCAAAGCTATCTCTTGATCCCCTACGTAATGCAACTCGAATAGAAAATGTTACTCGCAATAATTATTAATAGTAGTAGGTAATTAATCAAACGTAATACGCAACATAAATCATGTAGAAAAGGGCCTATCCAAAAGACCCACACCTAAGAGCCGAGCTATGCAAGACCCTCTAGTTCCCTGGATATAAGCCAACCACACTGCAACGCCATGCTCAGCATGAACCAATAGTGCTAAAAAAGCGCCGAATGCTTATAAGCGTAGATCGCATAAAGCAATAGTAGCGAAAGTCTCCCCTTCCTTCCCCTCCAACCGAACGATTACAAAAATGCCCTCGACCTAATGACGACACGTATAGTCCTCCTCCTCTTGATGCCAACAGCGCTATCGCCATCATCACCAGCCAGAGACTCATCATCCGTAATCTCAAAATTCATCTCTTCAGCCCGGTCGGCGGCATCATCAATAGCATGATTCCCCACCGCATGTGCCAAACTAGCGAATTCATCCAAGTCCAGCTCCACCTCTTCAACAACATTACCATTTCCATTATTAACAACATCTCTCGATACCAAGTCCTCTTCTTCTTCGGCTGGCGGACTCAGCTTCAATAAAGGATACCGGGACCTCCATACTCCCCGCCCCTCAGAGATCCCATCAACTACAAAAAACCCTTCTGACCACTGACGCGACGGAGGTTTGATCGGAGACTGCCGTATTTACCTTTGCCGTTGGCAGACGCTTCGCCCATCTCACCCATTAGAAGGCCAATCGAGCTACCTCTCCTGGAACGGCTGTCTCCCGCATCGCTGCCAGGAGCTGGCGGAACGCCAAGAATACTGCGGCGGTCGACACGCAGGTTCTTCCAGCCTTCGAGTTCACGCTCTAAACGCAAATTCTTCTCACGTTCTTCGCGGAGTTCACGCTCGGCACGCTTAGCGGCGAGTTGGTTCGTAGAGTCCGAAGACTGTAGCTCATCAATGGTAGCGAGCAGGCTGGAAATCTTGTCGCGAGACTTGTTAAGGTCTTCCATAACAGAGGCGTTTTGCTTGTCACGACGTTCAATCTGTGTTTGCAGATCTTTGACAGTTCGGTCTACATTGCGAACACTGCGCGATTCAGACAGGCGTGTTGTCTCGCTGTCTTCGAGTGCCTTTTCGAGCTAATTAGACTTGTTAGTACTATTTGATACAGATAAGGGAGAGAAATAGAAGAGCATACCTCTTGGATGCGTCCGTGAAGGAAGCGCACATCCTTGCCAGCTGATCCACTGTAACCCTTTGTCTCGAGATCCACAAGGCGAAGTTGAAGGTCCTTGAGGCTCTTCTCCACTGCTGCCTTGTCTTTATGGAGCTTGACGTTTGCCTCGCGCTCGGCGACAATGTCTTTTTGCAGCTCTTGTGCGAGTGCCTCTGCACGGCGCATCTTTCCAACAGCAGCGGCAGTAATATCTTCTTGCTGAGCAAGGCCAGATTTGAGCTCCAGCAAGTCGCGGTCGTAAGCAGCAGCGTTACGCGTAGCTGGAGACTCGGAACGAGAAAGATCATCCAAGGCAGCCGCAGCCTCCTGTAGACGAGCCTCAAGGCGCTTCTTCTCTTCGATGGCAGAATCACGCTCTGCCGCAAGGTCGTCGACGTTGGTGCGTAGTGTGCGAACCTGTGATAGCAGACTGACAATCTTGGATTGTGCCTCGTTGTGCGCATTGGCAGCTTCGTCGCGCGAGTCGGAAATGGTTTGCAGAGTCATCTCAAGACGGCTCTTCTCCTTTGCCCAGGTCGATGAGTTCAGAACCTCGTCGTCCCACTTGTTCCTCAATTCTTCAATCTCCTCGCGCAGGCGTCCGTTCTCCTCGCGTACTTGAATGATGTTCTCGCGCTCCTGATCAATCTCTTGAGTAAGCGTCTGGAGTTCGGTTTGGTACTTCTTCCTGGTCTGCTCCAGCGAACTCTCGCTGTCTTCCACATCGTGAGCGTGCTGGCTCCTGTAGTCTTCAAGCTCGTTTTGAAGGCGCTTCTTGGCCTGTAGAGCAGCCGCCAGGTCTGTGGACAGGTCTTCGACACGCTCGTCGTATCGTTGAACTGTTCGTTGTAGATCTTCAACCATAGCATCCATCTCCTTACGTTCAGCCATGATTGTCGCACATGTCTCTTCAGCTTCTTGAGCTTGGGTCCTTGCGAACTGCTCGGCACGAGATGCCCTCAAAACTGCAATCTCTGCCTGTTCAAGTTTGTTGAAGTACTCGTCAGCCCTACTCTTGTACATGTTCAAGCTTGACTGTACATCAACAAGGGTTGACGTCTCGTTGTCCAGTCGGATTTGAAGGTCAGCAAACTCTTGGAGGAGCTGGCTGTGATTAGCGTACTCTTGCTCTCGTTCACTGGTGATCTCTTGAAGTTCATGGTGAAGCTCGCGAAGCTCCGACTCCAAAGCTATCTTAGCGTCTTTGATGTCGTCAAAGGCGGTCTTTGCATCTGCAAGTTCATTTATGGCGTTGTTGTGTGCCTGTACAATTGATTTGCGCGATTGTTCTTGTGAAGTCAATAGATCAAACAACTGCTCATGAGACTTTGTCTGGACTTCCTGGTAGGAAAGTTGACCGGAACGAAGACTGTGCTCCAGTGCAGAGACCTTTGTTGCCGAATCGTCTAGCATATCATGCAGACGGTAATTCTCACGCTCCAGCTTCTGCACACGTCGGGTGGAGGGGCTTTCCTCTTGCCACTCGTTTCGGCTTTGAGAGGATTCAAGCTGAGTTCTAAGGTGTTTGTTTTGCATCTCTGACATCTGCAACTGGTTCTGTACTTGTTCAAGCTCAGCAGCCATATCCATGCGATTGTTGAATGTGACAGTGTCGATAGTCTTGTCGGAACGCGCAGAGTCGTTTGCATTGTTGATGTGTCGCTGGTTAGTTGGAGTGTTTGTGATTGAAAATGGTCGGCGGTTCTCGCTGTCTTTTCGGTGATGGGTTGGCGTATGGCGGACACTGGCTTGGTTGACCTGGCCATTGTTCACTTCTTCTAAGAGCGCACGCTTCGAATTAGCATGGCGAGCATCCATTTCGTTGAGTTCGCCCTCGTGCCTTTCGCGAAGTTCTTCCAGTTGAGATTCAGCACGTGAATACCGCTCTACCGCTACGCGCAAAGCTTGATTGACAGACTCAAGGCGCTCGGCGATATCCACTGTCCTAGCGATCTCGGGCTTTGCGGCTTCGTAAGTGATTGCCACATCAGCTGCTTCTGGGTCGAAAACCTTGCGGAGAAGCATGAGCTGCTTGTGGCATTCTTCCAGCTCGAGGTTTGTGTTGTCGAGGGATGCCTGAACAGCACGTGTGTTGGCCTGAGCTTGAGTACGTAGTTGTCGCTCAGTCTCCAGCTTACGGTTGACCTCGGCGAGTTGAATGTTGACGGTTGATGAAGCCTTCTCTGCATTACGGCTGGCCTTGTGCTCTCTTGCGATTTCGTGATTGAGATCCTCGAGATCCAGAGAAAGCTTCTCCTTTTGCTTCTCCAAAGACGTAATAGCAACTTGAGCATCCTCAAGTTGACGCATGAGGAGCTTGTTCTCCTCCTCAACCTTGGATTTCTCATGGGTCAGTTGAGTAATCTTGAGGCGTTGCGTGTCGCCAACTCGGGAGTTGGTCCGAGCAATGTCCAAGTTCTTCTGTTGGAGCTTGTTGAGAAGAGCGCGGTTGTCATTCTCCGATGCTGTCAGCCGTCCCTTGATTGTAACGATCTCGCGTTCAAGGCGTTCTTTTTGCTGGTCGTTCCGCTCTTTGAATGAATCAGAGTCGGCAAGCATTTGGGTCAAATTGTGAACCTGCTCAGCCAGTTCGTCACGCTCCGCCTCCAGTTGGTCCAGCTGCTGGTCTTTGGATTCGATTTCGCGTTGTTGAGCAGCCTGCCGTTCCAGAGCTAGCTTTGCTTGTGCGCGCTCTGCCTCAGCATCGGCGTCCAATTTCTCCTCCTCTAACTTCAGATACTTTTCACGAAGAGTATGCAGTTCAGTTTGGTACTCTTTTCGCTCCCTTTCGTGAGCTGCCCGCGATTCGGTCGCTCGTCGCAGCACATCTTGTTGAGCATACATCTCTTTCTCAATAGTGATCTTTGACTCATTCAACGCATCATAATCACGCTTGAGTGTGTCGTATCTGTGCTCACCAAGCATTTCAACGTCATCACGAGACTGTCTTTCTCGACTGAGTTCCTTTTGTACTGTGAAGAGTTCGCCCTTGAGGGCCTCAATTTGCTCTTGCAAGAGCTTGCGGCTCTCGCTGTACTCGGCGTCCTCGGAAATCTTTTCCTCAAGAAGACGCTTTGCATCCGCTGCCTCGCGCTCCACTTGTTGTTTCTGCGAGCGCATAGCGTCCAGCTCTGCATTTGCGTCACGGAGGCGGCTCTGGAGGCTGTCGTGCTTAGATGCCAATGTTCGCTTTTCGTCGTCAAACAAGCGGCGGTCGTTTTCGTAGTTTTTCAGATCAGTCTTCAGGATTGCCAACTCGCTTTCCTTGCGCCTGATGAGATCTTCATAGCTCGTGGACGTAGCAGACAGGTCTGAAATCTGTTGGCGAATTTGCCGATTCTCGTCTAACAGTTCCTTAATCTGATTTTTGCCCGACTGTACTTCTTTCTGTGAAGCTGCCAGCTTGATGTCAAGATCCTGGTCCGTCTTCAAAAGTTTAGCTTCAAGATCCTGAAGCTTTCGCTCTTTCAAAGAAAGGTGGCTCTGGAGCATCTTCACTTCCTGGCTTAATGATTCCTCCGCCTCAGTCCGTTGTGTCCTAATGACTTCGAGTTCCTTAATTTGCTCTTCCAACCG